CCCCCGAGTTCCTGCTGAAAGCCACTCAGTAGGCAGAGGCGTTCACTACGCTCATGGAGATAAGGGCGTGGTTGCACTGACCAGTCCTTTCAGGCTCTAGTGTGGGATGTTCTGCGCAGTCTTTTCTCGTTACGATAAAGAGCCCTTGCAGACCAGCATGAAAAAAAAGCCTGCGAGTAAAAATGCTTTTTTCAGATGAAAATGATTGCTACAGATGTAGGTGTGAACTACGCACGAACCAATGCACCGCCAGACATCTTGGACGTGAGACGCTTCATAGCAGTCCTCCATACTTTGAAAATACCGCTTGAAGATTTGCGAGCTCTGGTGCAGAAAGACTCTTATTACAACTACACGAGCTTGATGAGACTCAGTGAAGTGGACCAAACAGTTTACAAGGTAAGATGCTCAAAGCCACCGTAATCTGTGCATGAATGAAAAAAATAGAAGAAGAAGAAGTTATTAAAAAAACTTTTTTTTCTTGCTAAAAACTCGTTCCAAGAGGGAAACGGGATAGTTTTTGAGAAACTGGTGAACCATCATTACAGGACAAAACCTGAAGAGACAAGGCAAAACCAATGTTGAGTTCCTGATTATGCCCTCTCGAATAATTTTGCTATGAATCCTGGGTTCGGTGATCTTGAGAAGTTCTCGACATTATGGTTATAAAAAGCATTGTTCCCGAATGCCCTGGTCGCAGGTTTATTGTAGAATTCTCCTGAAACCACCAGGAGACAAGTATACTACAGCATCGTACTAGCTCCCGGGTTTGAAAGCCCTAAGGGTTTAAAAAGCATTAATCTTCTGAGCAGCGCACTAGAAATACGTGCTTTAATTGCTCGAGTCCTGATTTCTTTGGGCTATATCTGCTCAAGTATTAGGTTGTTGCATAAGTTCTTATACACGTGTTTGATCCTCTCCTATTTCGTTCGCATGGATGTTGGTATTACGTCATCACGTGTGCGTGACGTGTACATTATACTCTTTCATTACACTAGCTATCACTCACCGAGCTTGCATTTGCAGTACACAATGTCGCACAATTTGCACTGTGACAAAACGTACCTGCGCCACTGTTTGGTTTTGCTCCACGATTTCGGCTGGAATGCAAAGGAAGCCCATACCAAGCTGGTGGATACATACGGTGAGGACGTCATCTCTTACATGACATGCAAGAATTGGTTCGCCAAATTCAAGAAAGGAGACTTTTCTCTCGAAGATGCTCCGAGGTCGGGTC